ACAATCATTCAAGATCAAAAAGTATTAAACGACAAAACATCATAGTGTTAGATTCATCGCCGTCCTAATGATTAGAAATTTAACAGAGCATCATAAAGTTAAAAAAATATTGGTGGATTTTATTTGTAGAAAAGAGGAAATTATCCTTGAACTCTTCAATTTCTTTAATGATTCTTGATCATTCTTTCTGTGCCTTCTTCGCCCAAAATCCAAGTAACAATCTCTAACTTGTGTATTGTTGCACTTGGCTTCTTGATCTTTGTCAAATGAGTGGTAACTCCTTTTTCCGTTGCAGATTAGGTTAAACGAACCTAAATTGTATTCTACGAGGTTGAGGCGAATTAGGGAATATAATATTTGTTATCAGGAACCGCCATGTGGTCACATGGTATTGGCCATTATCATAGCATGTTTATGCTTCTAGAGTTATTGGAAATCATATAGGTTTCACCGTGATCGATAATATAGACAGATCTACGATAATATTCTTAAATAATATTGATTATAATGTTGTAATATTTCAGAGGCAACAATATAATAAATTATTAGTTTAAATCTTATAAAAGAATATCAAAAATATTTAATTATGTTAAAGACACAAAATCATTTAATAACTATCATAAATGTGTATTTTACAACCATAGAAAAATTAGAGCAAAGGGTACATGAATTGGAGTATGAATTAATATATCTAATGTTACAAAGCAAAGAGTCGAGAATTCATATAATAATAGTGCTGTTGATCGATCAAATTAAATCATATAACAATTAAAGCAAAGAGATCCATATAATACTCTTTGTTTCTGTCCTAATTTATGCCGCAAATGTAGTAGTAGTAATAATAATAATGTAAATTGATTCGTGATGGTGGCGACGGAAAGTGATAGTGGCAATTTTATAATAATAAAAATACAAATTTACAAGAAGCTGGGTACAACTAATGCTGGTGGTAGTAAGGATGATAACGGGGCGTGGGTTCGAGTTGGGGCAACATCCCCCGTCCTCGCTCCGTTATCCATTTAAGGTGGGACGAAGTGAGGCGGGGCAAGCCCCTTGCCCCGTTTAGTATCTTTGTATTTTTATTTTTTTAAGTTTTTGATAATTCATCTTATTTCCCTCATCCATTAAAGTGAAACTATAATATTGTTATTAGATGTTTTAATTAATTAATTCTTTTTTAAAAATAAAAATCGTTTAAATATATTTGGTAAAGTAAGTATTTTTTTTTTTAGATAATCTTAGTTGCCATTTTCTATTAGAATTAATGAAAATTCATGGAAATTTTCATTTAAAGTATCGATTTTTTTTTAAAAAAAAAAGTGGAATGAGACGAAGTGAGGCCCTTGTTACCCATAATCGCTCTGGACGAAATCCTCACGAGTATCGATTTGACGGGTTTTTTTGTCATCCTTTTGTGGCCACTTATGTAATATTGTAAAAATTATTCAATTATGTATATGTAAAAAACTTTCATGTGTCACCAAATTAATTTTAATACATGTGAAAGATAATTTTACTTAAAAAAAAAAGAGAATTACTACATTCACTAAATTTTGAAGGATTAAGCTTTCATGCCGATAACGTGTCATGAAAAAGAGAGTAAAAGTCAATATACTTGTGTGTATTATATAATGTTATCAAAATTGTCTCGATTTGATCGATAAAATTGGGAGCCAGGCTCAATATCAGGTCAATCATGCTTGATTAATTGATTATGACAATCGCTTAAAATCCACTAAATCGACCAATTTAAACAAAAACTAGTGAATCGGTCACAATTTTGTATTTTTTTTCCATTTTTTTGTTCAAAAATTTTTATTTTAACTTCATGAATGGGCGTTATAAACTATGGGCCTGTTTGAAGTGATTTTGAGAATTAATTTTTTGACTTTAGAAGAAAAGTGGGGCCACTTGTAAGAGAAGAAATCAAAAATTACGGTTGGAATAGCAAAATAACGTTAAAAAATTATTTTTTGGGGGTGAAAAATCACTCCCAAACGGAGCCTATAATTCAAAGGCCTATAGAGAAATATTAAATATCGTGCTCATTTTATAAATATACTTAACTCAAATGGTTTCATAAACTTTTAATATGTGATAATCTCTTTTATAGATGCACTTCACTTCAATGATATCATAAACTTCTAATGTGTGTAGTGGCATAATATAAAAATGTTAAAATGTGCATCAAAAATTATTTTCCAAATGTATGTCTAATAGACTAATTCGATTTGGAATTCCAATTAACTAAATTGTAATATTTACATTCATCCTTTTATTTATTTAATTTTCAAATTTAACTTAAAATGCACTTGATCATTAATATATTAATGTTATATATCGTCTTCTATAAGTTTAAATTATTTTAATCTAACAAAATATGAATCTAATTAACAAAGCTAGATTTACTTTGAATTATTAATATGAGAATTTAAAAAATTGTATTGTTTTCATAGTATTTTATTATTTTTGTATGTATTTATTTCATCTGGTTGGATCGAGATTGAACATTTTAACCCTTGACCTTAATCTTTTTGGGGTGGATGATCAGGTCGATTTTCAAAATATTGGTATTATATTGACAGCCAAAATTCTATATTTATTGGAATACAATTATAATAATTTTCAGGCTTATAGGATAATTGTCATTCGCTAATAAACTTACCATTTACAATAAAAAAATTATTTTAAACCATTAATTTCTAAAATTGAGAATAGTAAGAATATATTATGGCCTCGTTTGATTCTCATTTTTATCTTTCTTCTTTTTAACTACACATTTTTTATTTAAATAATATCACGCGTAAATAAATTTTTTCTTGTTTTTTATCCATGTATTTTTCATCAATCTACTATTCTAAAATTTACTTTTTCATAAAAATGAGTGTCAAACACCATTTATATTTAGCCTTCGTTTGACTTCCATTTTGTGGAAAAATTAATGTGCGAAATAGTGTTTTTTTGAAAAATAAATGTTTGAAAAAGAGAGAAAATTTTTCGATTTATATATAATATTATTTTATGAAAAATTGTGTAATTGAAAATAGAAAAGAGAAAAATAAAATGTAATAAGATGAAAGTTAAGGAGGTCAAACAGAGGCTTAATGTACTTGAGACGCAGACTAGGATCAAAACTAGAGTAGGAGGGTGTGCACCGTACGCACACGGCACAAAAGCGTCAAGCTGAAGCAGACGCAACTCACTCCCGCTAACCCCAATTTCTCTTCATAAACCATTTTAATTAAAAACTTTTAATCCCCATCACCCATCACCGTAACTATCTAATTAAGAATTCCAATCTAGGACCTCCTCCTCCATTAACGACTTCCTTCGCTGCTCATCACTAAACCCAATAATCCGAAAGATCCCTTTTTGTTTTGAGCTGAAATAGTAGTGAGAACTGTGGATATTGAAAATTTTATGGCTCGGCCAATTAGGAGCGGCGGTGCGGGTGAAGGGAGGTATTATATGGTGGGGGATTACGTGGTAGAGGACCGAATAGGGTCCGGTTCATTTTCGACCGTGTGGAACGGGCGCCACCGCACCCACGGCACTGAGGTGGCGATCAAGGAGATCGTCACCGCTCGATTGAATTCCAAACTCAAAGAAAGTCTCAAGTCCGAGATATTTATCCTCCAGAAAATCCATCACCCTAACATCGTCCGCTTGCTAGACATGATCGAGGTCCGTACTGCCGTTGCCTTCTATTTTTTGTTAATTTTTTTCCCTGCCTATAAATAGAGGATGCGATTATGAGATTATTTCCATGATGTGCTGTATGCGTTGTTTGGAATGTGAAACTTCATGGCGTGTACATATGCTATTGGTTTATGATTATTCATCTTTCCTTGTAGTTTAATGCGGTCTGTGATTTTGGGGAATACTACAAGCATGAAGTAGAAAATTTAGTTTGTTTCGGACAAAAATATTAACTTCAACATTTTAAGTAAATATTTAGATATATTTAATTTTTAAAATTAAATATTAATAAATAATGTACTACAAATAAAAGTAAAAAAAATGCGTGCAAAACCAAACCTCCGTGCACGTGCAAAAACACCTCCTTGCACGGAGGTTTGAAGCTCTGTGTACACGAAGGTTTGGTAAAAGTTGGTTTTTTTTTTTTTTTTTAATTTTTTTTTTTTTTTCAACTTTAGCTTCAGACTGTGGATTGATTGCTTTCATGGATGGAGAGTCAGTAGTGACGAAAAGAATGGGAAAGTACTAGACATGAATGAAAGTTAAAACAGTAAACTCGAAATGCTAAAATGTACGGTGCATTATATTTATGAAGGAAACTTCAATCTCGGGAGGGGAAAGGAAATTGATGACCAAGAAGGAATTTTCATAGATGACCAAGAATTGATGTTTGTTGTTTTCAATTACACCGTGTTCTTTATTATTTAGGCTATGTAGTTTTTCAAGCTTTTAAGTAAGCAGTACACACATTTCTGCTTTTGAGTGTAATTTCGTATATGGATTCTCCGCTCTAGCACCTTTAAAAGAACTCTACTTATTTAAAAAGAAAAAAGACGAAGGCACACAAGTTGTTTGAATGTAGCATTTTTTAGCTGCTCCTTTGAACCCATCATATTTTTTCAGGAGGATACTTGGCTTTCTTAAACACCTAAGATGGCTCTATACCTTTTGGCATAGTTGGTGTATATCAATGAAGTTATTTTGTTCGATAATCCAACAGCAGTGGAGTAATATCATGACGAATGCTTCTTATTTTGGTGCATGTACTTGATCAAATTGTTGCATCAAGAGATTCTTGAAGTGCTCAAGCAACTATTGTCGTAATCCCCTCATTTTATTTCATTTAAATTATTGTTGTGTACGGTATTAGGAATCTGGAAATTTGTACATCATTTTGGAGTACTGCAAAGGGGGTGACCTTTCAGAGTATATTCGACAATACCAAGGAAAGTTACCCGAAGCAACTGTAAAGCACTTTATGCAGCAACTAGGTAGTTCTTATATCTTTATTATTCTTTCTTTTTTGTTTCACTTCTGGAATAACTCTATGTTGATGTCTAAAAGCTCTGTGCTACAGTGACAGGCCTAAAAATTCTCCGCGAAAACAACATTATACATCGAGATTTAAAACCTCAGGTTTGTACTAAAATCTAAACATATACTTTATTTCGCTTCATCCGACTTGGCAAGTTTATGATAATATTTTGTAAGTACTTTCTAATTCAATAGGGGAGGACCATCTCCCACAAGCTTAATGTCCTCATCATAATCGTCAGGTACAAAATCTCCCACAAGTATGTAATTCTCATCAGAATTATCAAGTGCTTGTTTTCGACACCTTAAGTATTATCTAAATCAAAGAAGTTTCAACTTGAATACATTGGTGCCCGAATATGAACATTGTCCAACACAATGCATCGCACATCATATTTCACATCTTGGATCTCCTCTGATCATATATCCATAATCCATATAGAGATTAGTCATTGCACAAATTTTGTTAATTTACCACTATCAGAATCATGGAAATATAGTTGAAAAGTACATGGAAAGATTACCAAACACGAGAAATAAAAAATATGGGGATTAGCCAAAAGATATAAAAGGGAAAGTAAATAAAAAAAATTGTTGAAATAAAAATTAACTAAAGTAGTAATCAAAATGAATACTTTCCCGACAATGGCACCAATAGTCTGTTCGTTGAAATTACGTTCCACAAGTGTACGGGTCGCATTCAAGTAATAAAGTAGAGGATAAGTCTTAGTCAATCCCTTGAGGAATGTTTACTTTAATTACACTATTCTCGTCAATTTAATTCTAACAAAGGGACGTACAATAACATTTGCTTTTATTAATAATAAAAATAACAACACAAAGAATAAATCATAAAATTAAAGAAAGTTGGGAGAATAAAGTAGTGGGGATTCATAATTTCGCTTAACCATTGTCTAATCAATTTCTCCGCAATTAAATCAACAAACTACTCATTTACAATATTAGACCCAATTTTTCGATTTTAGCTAATTATCTCTCTTCAGTGAAATTAGCTCTAATCGATTGATTTAATCTACTATGTCTCTATATCAATTAAGCCATTGTTTGGCCTCCATTTTTTAAAAATGACAATGGATGGAATAGTGTTTTTTGAAAAAATGAGTGGTTGAAAAAGAAGAAATTTTTTTCGATTTACGTATAATATTATTTTATGGAAGATTGTGTGGTTGAGAATATGAGAGAGAAAAATAGAATGTAATTTAATGGGGGCTAAAACCTAAACAATTACATTAAATCTTTATTAAAATAGCTCAATTGATCACCAAGAGTTAGGGGTACATCTCTATCTCCTACAAGAACTTTGGGTTTTTATTCATTGGTCTAAAAACTTAGCAGAGTGGCGCCTAGGCACCAGACACTTCTTTCCCCTTTTTGCAACTTAAATCTCTAGGTAATTGCTCGTCAAATCCCTCAACTTTAATCTTGTACGTTTTGGTCCTCAAATTTTGACTTTTGTTTTGATTATGTCCTTCAAAATTTGCATCCAAGGTCCTTCAACTTTCGGAGCTTATGCAATTTGGTCCCCCAACTTCACATTTTTGTACAATTTCAGTCCTTTTTCTTTTTTTTTGCTCTGTTTTCCTTCTGTGGAGGGTTTTGTCCTATATAAGCAACAATTACAAAATTATGAGTAGAGATTCGCTTATTTAATCAAATATTAAGCTTGTATAGGTGTCCAAAAAGTGTGGAAAAACACACTTATCACTGCTCACAATCTCAACTTCTGCATCTTTTTGCGATGTGCATTTTGTAGAATGATAGGATAAGCAAACATTATAGTTGATGGAGGTTATCATTTATGCAAGACCTTTTATAAATTCTTCATTTTCAATCTTCACCTCTCAACTATTTAAATCTTTGCCTTGATCATGGCTAACACAACAATTCCCCATGTTTTCTACCCCTTATATATGCTACTCGCTTTTTGCAAACTATCATATTGGACAATTCCATGCCACTCCAACTGGGCATGTTTGGAGTTATATTTTACACCAATGTTTTTCTGCAGTAAATTTATACAAAATGTACTTCTCATTTTTAATATTTAAAAGGTTCAATCAAGTATTTAGAATGCTCAATCATTTACTGTTGAATTTTAACTTTGTGAGGTGGTGTGCCAGCCTCGAGGAGTTTTGATGCATTAGCCCCTAGATTATTCAATAGAATTCAATAATTCCAAAGAATTAAGGCTGCATTTAATTGCCAATATTTTCCATGAAAAATGTGTTTTTTTACGCAAATTTCAACTTTTGTGCTGTTTGATTGACATTTTCGTGTAAAACATTTTTCTACTTTTGGTTACGTGACGATATTTTCCTCAAAATCAAGAAAAATATTTTCTTTAGGGGAGTAGATTTATTTTCCATGGAATTCACTCTTGAAAGCCTAAGATTGACTAACCAAGAGGGGGTGAATTGATTTTTAAAACTTTTTCACAATTAATTTTTAAGTTTAAAATTACTATGCTGGCAAATGTAACAATTAAACAAATTTGCACAAAAATAAAACTAAGTAGACGAATGTTAAGAACGTAATATAAAAAATAATAAGCAAAAGGGATAGAGAATGCAAACGATTTAGTAGGAGGTTCAAGCAAACCTAACTATCTATGTTCTCCGTCACGAGCAAGGTCTTTTCCACTAAATGTGATTGACTTATGGTACAATCCAACCCTTACGAAATATCCGGTGACTTACAAACAAGGAGCACCGATCGTTTTATAATGTTGAGCTTTACGGGGCCTCAACACGACCCTCAAATTTATAGATAAAGGATTTACAAATTGAAACTTTTCTTATAATAGATGATGTATTTAAAGTTGAGTATGATAAGAGAAGTAGGCTAATTTTTTAAGAAATGGCAATGAGTGAAGTTCAAGAGTTAGGTGAGAAAAACTTTGATGAGAGAAATGATTTTTCAAAAGATAAATCAATCAAAAGCTTTTCTAATATGAATGGATTGATAGAGATAGACAAAGAGTGAAAATTAAATAGATAAGATCAATATTACCTCACTTTAATGATATTAGAAGTTGTGTATTGAATACAGATTGATATGGTATTTATAGTACTAGAACGGTCAAATTTCTGTCTTATCGGACGATTGCTTCCGGACGTTCCGTAACCTACCGGATGGTTAACTAGCTGTTTTTTGTCAAAAATCAGAATGGTCACTATTTAGACCGTTAAACAAACTAGTCTTATCGTACCGGCCAAAATTTTCAACAAAATGTTTTTTATTGTTTGGAAAAATATGATTTATTGAAGAATATTTTTAAAACTTATTTTACAAGGTTTTTGACACTTCCCAAATATGTAATAAAGTTCATACATTTGAAAAATAATTTTGCATGTGAAAATATTTGAAATGTCGTTCTTCCTTATGCATAAAAATTCATCTTAAGATTCAAATGATATTGCCAATTTTTTAAAGCGTTTTACCTTTACACTTGAATTCAAGATATCTAAATCTAATGGTTTTAATATAGGACTTGATAAGGTGTTTGTCTTGAATGATTTGTTGTATATGCTCAGCTTTTATCTCGTCTTGCATTGCTCATTTTTTGCGAGTATTCCAATGGTGACCATTTCATCTTCAATTGATCAAGCTTTCCACAATTTTTATAATCACTCAAATGCGATTGTTAGCGATATAAGCAATTTGTTTGTTATAATCAAAACGTGAAGTCAACCATAGGTCAACAACTCTTTCATCTATCCTCTCTCTCTCATCTTTTCACCAATAAAAAAGGACAAGTATAAAATGTTTTTTAGGTTAAAAATTAAATCAATCAAACACATTTAATTGATAATTTCTATGCAAATAAGTTCTTGGCGATTGAATTGCCTAAAATTTATTTTCTTTCCATGCAAATTCTATGCTTGCAATTAAACACACCCTAAAAGTACAAAAATATGCTCATTATAAACCATCTTAAAAATTCACGACAAAACCAATTCACAATGTTAATATATGTATAATGCCTGTGGTCTATGTCCTTCAAGTGAACCCCATGAAGGAGTATTCTGCTTATTGATTTGGCTTTAAGTTGGCACTTTCACTCTAAAGTGTACCTGATTTCTTTTCTGTGAAATCTCCGTCTTTCCCTTATTTTTGTAAAAAAAAAATGCTGCAAAACAACTCCATCTTTTTTCTGGTGTGATATAACCAATAATAAGTTGAATTTTTCGTACAATAATGGTATTAGAACAAAATATGTAGGATGTCTAATGTCTTTAGCCAGATTACACAGTTTAATCATTTTTGCTTTCATTTCTTATGAGGAGTGAAAGTTTCATAAGTATCTTTTTCATGCGAGTTATATTCTGGAAGGAATGATGCAAAGTTTTCATATTGAATTCAGGATGTAATAAATATTTATGGCGTAAATGGACATTATTGATATATTCCATCTGTATGTATGTCTTACCTGGAACAGAATCTCCTCCTATTCACTAACGATGACAAGCCGGTTCTGAAGATTGCTGATTTTGGATTTGCAAGGTAAATATTTGAGTTTGACATAATGTTTTCTGGCTCACGCTCCATATTCCTGAAATGGTTCTAGTAAGGTAGTAGACACATGCATTTTCTGTGGAAGTTCTATTATAATGGTATTCTACGTGTATTTTGTGTTTATATATGTTTGTGTGAGGACGTCTGTACTACCAGCTGCAATTTGTGTAGTATTCTAAACTTTTACGTGCTGGTGCTTCATGTCCATCTTCTAAGAATAGGTAAAGGACCCTATTGATACAGATTAGTTCTTTCAGCTGTCTATATAACACTATTGTGGCTTTCTTTCATTTTAGTTGACTTTTCTTTGGTTATGCAGATTTTATGAACTCGAGCATGATCACGATTTAAAGAGCTCCTATGATATAATTGACTTAATGGTTATCCTATCTATTTAGCTAAGAAGTATGGTGCCCTTAGTCTTGGGCTTGGTCGGACGCTGTACTCATGGTGCATCAATAAATTAGGATGGAGCATGAAGCATGCAAGCCCCTTCATTCAAGCTAGAGAATAATCAGGACTATGATCATCTGAGATTTATAGCACTTTTGGTTTTTCATTAGGAGATTTCCTCAATCTTTATCTTACCTAACATTCCCCTTTCTAGCTCACTAACTCCTTCCCTTTTTGTGCTAGTTCAACATGGGTGCTGGAGCTTTCCCTCCATCCCCCAATTATTTTGTATTCTTACTTGATTATACAGCGACTATTGACATGACTGTCAATGCAAAACTTGAAGTTTGCAGTTCAGAAGTTCCTTTTTGTTTGACAGATCTCTACATAGGGACCTTGCAGAAACCGTATGTGGCTCACCACTCTACATGGCTCCTGAGATAATGCAAGGCCAGAAGTATGATGCAAAGGTGAGATTCTACTTTTGCATACTTAAGCAGTTATCCGTCAGCTTAATCCACTATTATCTCTGAACTGAGAACACAGGCAGATTTATGGAGTGTTGGTGCCATTCTATTTCAACTTGTAACCGGAAAAACCCCATTTACAGGAGGCAGTCAGATGCAGGTGTGATCAACTTAAATCTTTTCGTGCAAGTACAACAGACTTCAGAGTTTTCCTGTGAAAAATATTCTGCACTGCCTAATCCAATCGTTTTATACATTTTGCAGCTGCTTCAGAACATTTTAAATTCAACTGAATTGCAGTTTCCATTAGATGCAAAGTATTTGAATCCTCACTGCATAGATTTGTGTAGAAAATTGTTGCGTCACAATCCAGGTATTACATGCCTTTGCTTCTTGGTATGGAGTGTAATGTGATCACTACCAGTCCACGAGTAGTTTTAATTTGGTCAATGCATATTGAAATATATTTGATGGTTGAATGTATATTTTTACTTCTACTAGTAAATAAAGTGAAAATATGATTAAATTATCGTTGCATTTCACTCCAGAGACATCCTAAAAAAAAAAAAAAAAAAAAATTATTGCGGCCTTGAGCCTTAATCCAGTGTTCTTTTCTTTCAATATTTGAACCCTGTTAGCCCATGGGATTTGCAGGAGCCAAGAATTTCTTATAACATATTTGTTCAAGTAAATTTGTTTTGTGACCTGTTAACCTCTTAACTATGTTGTTGTAGGAAACTTGTTCTAACATTAAAACTTTGGTTGTTTACATTATTAGGGAATAACCCTTTTAGTAATGGGAATATGCTGTGCTGCATTTATCTGGCACTATGTCGCCACAGATTTTTGCTTCTGATTCTTATAGGTCAACATCATGGAAAAATCTGAAGGCTTTTATTCAAATAATCCGCTTTAGTTCCCATTATTTGACGAACTTATTAATTTTATCTAATTTTCAGTTTAGTTACATTTTTTTTTTCAATGCTACAGTGGAGCGCTTGACATTTGAAGAATTTTTCAACCACCCGTATCTTTCTCAGTTGCAGCCAAATGAATCATTCAGGTAAATGAGGTGTTGATACACATATTTGTTAATCTGAATATACAAAATTTTCTTTCCAGTCAGAAAGATGAATATCTCTGTGGTATGCAGGAATAAACAATCACAAAGGCTGATAGATGGTTCTCCTGTCTCTGGAAGGAGCACAGTAGAAACTGCGCGAGAAGATTGCTTACATTTCAATCGAGATGATGATAATAGCAGTGCCGGTGAGAGCCCATCTTCTTCAAGGAGGTCACCGATGAGATCTATGTATGGATTTTTTCTTGATAAGAAAGTTGATAGAAGGGAAGTTTCTACTATTTCAAACAAATTGCAACCTATTTCCAAGGATAATAAAGCACCCCATATACCAGAAATTACTGGGTTTAGTCTTGGTGGCCAGCAACTTTCCGAAGAAAACCTGAATGAGATTATTAAAACCAACGACCGAGCATCAGTACATAATAGTTCAACAGGTGCTTTTTAAATATTCCAATTTTTTTTTAATGTTAGGGTACCTACATTTAAAGTTGTTATTGCTGAACGATTTTCCTTTTCATCTTATTTGCATTGACTCTTTAGTTGTAGATTCACTGGAGTCAATTGAACATGATTATGTCATTGTGTCTGGTCCTCCAATGGATTCGTCATCTTCAGTGCATGCTTCTAAGACAAATTATTTGCCATATAAATCTAGCCCACCACATAACTTTGGAAACACGATCCCCACTCCCACTGCCCAAGTTCCAATAAGTGGTGCAGAAACTGGTAGAGGGGATTTCATTGGGAGCTTGGAAAGTCACAGCTCTGATCCTGGGATTTCAGAAGGATCAATGGATGTGGAAGACAATTTAGAGCAGCCATCAACTGATTGCATGACAAGGATCAAGTCATTGCAGTGTTGTGCATCTGCTATCTCTGAGTTGGTGAATGAGAAGGTAACTTACAGTGCTTCCTTTTATGGAAATGTAGATTACATGTTTTTAATGAGCAAAAAGTGCACCTCTCATGGACTGAAACTTGGTTTCCAAGATTTCGTCTAGTCTTGCATGTTGTAAATTATCTAGTAAGTACATTGTCCCTCAAGTTTCTTGGATTTATAAGGCCTTTCTAAAGTAGTATTAGCGTACTCTGATTTCACTTCAGTGGTTCTCAGAGACTGATAGACACTGTACATCCACACTTACAACTCTGCCTTCAAGCTTTGGCCAATGTCATTTTTAATGTCTTCATTAGTTTTATTTTCATTTCCCTTTCGCATGTGATCGGCTTTCAGATCATCTAAAAAAATACTTTGTTCTTGTTCACAAACCTTTTGATGACTTTATTTACATATCAGACACGCCTCCTCACACACAGGACAGGATATTCCTTTTCCTTGACAACCAAGCTTGTGCAGTAACCATAATACTTGGCAGGGAAACTTGATCCAGGACCTATGTCTGTTAGCCTTGTTGAGTGACCACCTCATCTAAAAGCTTAGCTATGAGAGAGTGAAAATTCGTTATTGATATCTTCTTCTGATGTGCACGGACGAACTCAGCTGATACCTTGAATTATCAATTACATTGGTGCAATTAAATCACTAACCGCAGATCATGTTTTATTGTTTATTGCATGAAAACTAGAGGAAAAACACAATCAAGTGATATGTTGAAGCTACTTATGAGTTAACCTGTTAGGCATTACTAAAAGTGGAATGGCTAGTGTGGGAAACAATCTCGTGGTTCATGAATCCGAAAAAGTGACTGAAGGATAA